GTATATATGATATAGGGCACTCACCCTATTGGCACTGGCATCGCGGGTGGAGATCCCGAACTTGAGGTGCTCGCGGACCTGAACAGGGTATATGACTTCGAAGAATCGACTGGGAATGTTGGCGATAAGGCGCTCGTTTTCGGGGTACAGCCGTTTCAGGCGCTCCGCTTCAGCTGTCAGTCAAATAAATATGTTGTCATTTGAGTCATTATATCTATATTTAGGTGTAATGGTTAGCAAATTGTGCTCAGATTAACACAATTGCCTCATATGTCTGCCCTTTGCCTCCCGAGGAATGATTCTTGTGGTGAACACATAAACATAATTTGCATAAAATAGCAATTTATAATATGAATGCAATGGGAATACATGGGAATACATGGCAAATGATGGCATTATAAATGAGAAATATAGAAATAGCTATCATTTTAAAGGATATAACTTATAATAAACTGCAATCCAGTGGAGAATTGTTAAAAAATAAACGCAAAACATGAGTATTGTATGAAATTTTCACTTATTCTCAAACACTTTCTTTTTTATATATGAATACAAAACCAAAAGTATTAATATATTCCGAGAATATTCTTATGAAAAGAGGAGAAATTGTTAGAAATTGATTGAATTGAAGTGATTTCTGTGTAAAGTGTTATACACAACGGATTTGAAATACATGTGAATCTCCAATGTTGTGAACGAAATAGTAAACACAAAACATAACTCTGAATGCAATAGAAAAGTATAGATAGAAATATAAAAACACATTTAAATAGAATTGGAATTTCTATAAATAAATACTCAGAGTATTGAATGCATTCAATGAATAACAATGAATACATTGAATGAAAGGTTACAAAGTGTCGGAATCTCACAACTAATAGTCATTACATTAATCCAAATATTGATCGAAATATTTAATTATATTTAATGTCATATATGTTGACAAATATTGTAAAAAAACTTTTTTAAATTCATTAAAACAGGAATTCAATTAACGAAATACAGAATCTAAACAAATATAAAGGAAAACCAAATAATCGATGAAAGCATTAAATAAACAATAGTTTAAGAATTGTCTGAAATGTCTGAATACAAAGATCAAATTAAATAAGACTCAAGTGTTGTATAGCAGAGCTATGGATCAATTGTTTGGTGACAAAACATCTTTACTTATCGTTGACTCTGATGATCACTTTGACGCCCTCTCCCTTAAAAGCCGTGTTAAACGCGTCCAAAGTTTGTTTGAATGGAAATGTATGCGAAATGAATGGTTTGAGTTTCACTTTACCGGTGCCGACCAACTCTATGGCCAGAGGAAAGGCGTTTCGATACCGAAATGAGCCCATAATTGTCACCTCACGAATGGCTGTCGAGGCAATGGGTAGAGTCATATCCTTAGGTCCGTGTCCTGTCAATAGTCAAGTGCCGCCGCTCTTCGTGACCAACATTCCCAATCTGACCATCGGTGGCGCACCACTACACTCGAGGCTCACATCAATTGGTCGACCCATCACTTCCACCACTCTTTTCTTCATGTCATCCTCACTGACATCTCTGTCCACTACAATCACTTCATCGGCGCCGACACTTGCGGCCAGTTTTAATCGATTGGCGTTTGTGTCCAAAGCCAGGACCCGATGCGCACCAAATGCTTTGGAGACCATTATCTGGAAGAGACCTATTGGTCCACAACCGGTAACCATTACAGCAGAGCCGGCCGTCACACCAGCCCTTTGGACGGCATATACGGCAACAGACAAGGGCTCAATCATAGCCCCCTCTTCGTCACTCATATCTTTCGGTATTTTAAAAGCAAAGTCTTCGGGATGTATGAAGAGTTGGGTTAACGTCCCGTTGTGTGGAGGCGTCGCGTGACATAAGATCTCACCGCAGAGGTTGTACTGACCCTCTTTGCATGTCCGGCACATACGACAGGGAACTGCCGGTTCACAACACACTCGATCCCCTACTCGGAAGTGATCGACATCATTGCCAACAGCCATCACCTGAGCACAGGTCTCGTGACCCATAATTATGGGCTCTTTGAGCACAAAATTGCCGATAAATCCATGTTTCCAATAGTGGACATCAGATCCACAATCCCACACAAAGAGTTCTGAGTAGCAGTTCGTGAGGGCCGGGCTTTCGAGGCAGTGGTGTCTCTTCTAGTCTGAGATCATCGACTGAATGCAAAACTACCGACAAATTGCTGGTCTTCTTCTCCTTCTTCTGGTTATCGCCACAAATAGGCGTCAATTGAATGAAACGCTTATTAATTAAACTTAATTTCCATTCATTTGTAAAACTTTTTGCGCAAACGGACAGCAAATACGTCGGAAGAATGCATTCATTTCTTAACTTCAATACA